TTTGATTGGCTTGTTGGAAAGTGCAGATCACTGGTTTTAGTGCAGATCACTGGTTCGCCACGTTAAGGTCAAAGCGATACTTGGGAATGCCAAAAGCACTTGGTTCAGTGGACTCGTGGCCAAGTGCGAGGCCAAGCATGGCCATCATTGTCATTGAGGTGTCCATATGGCGATTGCGAAAGTTGAAAAGTAATTTGCCTCGTAGCAGAACACGTTTCATTGGGAATATTCGACGAAGACTTTACTGGAAAACCTCACAAGAATTTTCAAGTTTGCAGAATTTATCTATTGTTGCGAATTTGCCATGTGCAGAACCCCTGAACCCCCCAACGGCTCAATTTCCTTGGATAGTATGCCGGAAAATACGATGGGCTAATTGGACGAGTGGCTGTGAGCAGCTGTCTGCCTAGGGAAGGGTTTTTAGCCCAGGCCTCATTAAAGGTGGAAATATATAAATAGTTTCCACTTTAACCACTTTTAAGGGCAGAATGTTCCCACTTTTTTTTAATTTTCACAATCAGGTCTCTCCGGCTATTTGTGGCACATGTGGCCAAGCAGAGACCGTCGTTGCTTCATCCTGACTCCATACGGACCTCTACCGACTTCCACGGACCAACCCATTGGTGGATGCAAGTTGTCGAACTTTGATCTCAAAACTTGTCCCAGTGCCGTCAAATTCTTGGGGTGTTGGTACGAAACAAACGATCTCGCAAAAAAAATGAGGGTTTGGCCATCACTTCTGCTGTCGAAACATGTGGAACTCGAAATTACACAAATTACACTTGTGGTGTAGTGACCAAATGGATCTAACTAATGATATAGCGAGATCGAGTGTGCGTGGTCGGTATGAGACGCACCCGCGACACGACCGCTTGAGTATAACACAGTGATCTTACTTAGGAAGTTTTAACGATGACAATCGAATCATTTTCCATTTTCCTTCCACTACACGACCCGAAAACCTCCAATGTTGTGTCGGAGGATGTAAAAAAAGCTCGATGTCGCGAAGTTCTTCAGGGTTTTCTCCGCCGTGCGCGTACGCTCCTTGCGTTTGTCACTTCGCTGGACCACCTGGTACGGTTGGTCAACCTCCATGAGTATATGTGTGCCCTTGGAGTCGTTGATATCCATCTCTTCGATCTCACCGTCTTCCTCGTAAGACATAAATGTGCTCACGAAACTCTGGCGTGGTCATTTGCATCGCCTCCGTGCCCACGATGGAGCGCTGGAGCGACGAAGCAAAGGCGCAATAAGTGTGGGCAACGTCCGGGTGTGTCCTCTCCGCTGCCGTACGACACTAGTTCGGTTGACTGATGTTCGTGCCGTTTTTAGGCTATTTTTATGCCTTTAATACTGCGCCAACTCGACAAGTGGGTGCTGGTTGAGTCCTGTATCAGTGTCGAGGTGCTGTTTCACCAAGGTGTCTCGGGTACGTTTAACTTCGAGATCTAAGTAGTGTACAGAAACACCGTTCGCACCGTGGAAAGGTGTCCCTTTCGTGCCCTTAAAAAGTCCCGGTGATGGAATTTTTGGTATATGATTTGGTTGATTGGCACGCAATGTATCATAAGTTCCTTCTGGCTTGACCCATCAGCGAAATAAACTCGCCACGCGTCCGTAAGACAGCCCGTTCCAGGGACGACCGCGCGATGGCTTTCAAACGCAACATCCACGCCAAGCTGGCTCAGCTTGCGGTAGAATGGTGTGGTATTAAAGTTATCACGGATGCCCGTGACATTCATGAAGCACAGAGAGTCTAAGGGGTGTCCCTCCTGCACTGGGACGAGGTAGCGCTTTCCTATGATGGACAGGTATTGTCCCCCAAGCGCCTTTCGCACACCCGACGACGTTGCTGAAACCACAACACACCCCGTCCAAGCCGAGTGACCTGGTCGAATTCAGGCAGTAGCGCCTTAACAGAGTCTGATCGCGCGCTCGTAAACAGCGGCGACATGATCGTTTCGTGCGACTTTGAAGTTGACGAATCGCCTGTATCGACGATGAATCGAGCATATGCCACTTAAGACGAGTATGGCCGAGCAAGGCTAATTTTGTCGAGCACCTCGACACGGTCCTTTTTGGGCTTGGCGAGCTCCAACAGGATCGCTTCGATGGCGTCGGCAGATGGCGGGACAAAAGCTGCCATAATGCCGTTTCGACACAGCGGTAAAACCACGGATTACCTTGTTGTAGTCAGGGGGAGGCGAGAGGGTCCATTTGCGTCCGCAAACCGAGAAGGTGCAAATGACCCTGTGTTTCAAGAGGAACTACATAAATGTCAGTGGGTTCGAATACTTTTGGATTGAAATATTTGTATCGCATGTATTTGCCATGAGGTTTTTGCGCACATTAGATGTCCGTGGGTACGAAGACTTTTGGATTGAAATATTTGTATCGCATGTTTTGCCATGAAGGTTTTGCGCGCGCAATTATTATACTTTCTCAATCTGCATTACATTGATCGAGCACACTGTTAGCTTTACGTCAATGCTTTGTTCTTGTCGAGGATGTTATTATCGTAGTCGACGTTGAAAAGTGAACAAAAATCTTACTAGGGGAATGAAGACTTTTGACACTCACTAGCGCACGAAATAAAAAACGCAAGGATTTCCAAACTGAGGATGATCTCTCTTGTATGGCGGGTTGCAAAGAATACAAGGTCATCAATAATCTTCTGCAACGTTCATACCTGAAAGACTCTGTGAAAGATAATTGAGAGAGTTGCAGCGCCGCCGCTGAAGTATTTCCAAAATGACTTGGTCTCGAATCAAATACCCTGAATTGACCAGTTGGTCCCGAACGAACCAAATAGATCTAATTTATACTTGGTAATTATATGCAAAATAGGTTTTTGCGGGTATACAAATATCAAGTATAATACATAGAATTATACTTATCGGCGGGCGTTGGACGCAGGCGAAGAAAAGGACACCCGAGCGGCAAAACCAGATCGCAAAGACTCAGTTGCCAACCTCTCAGCGCGGCGAACTGCGTAACGACGTTGGACAGCAGCACACTAGGTGTTGTTCTCTTCGACCATGCGACGGTAACGAGTCAACACAGCGCGGTACTGATGCTGAACATTTTGACGTAGAGGCATCAGTGCAAGATGGAAGTTGGTCAAAGAAGAGGTAAGACGCTGGATGGCATCATAACTCTTGGTTCCCCACACGTACGTTGCGTAGGATATCTTCCAAAGAAGGCAAACACGGCCAAAATAGTACTCCACGATAACTCGGTCGGAGGAGATATTGGCGTTGCGGTCGAGGTCAGTACGGTCGAGGGTGCCGTTTGTTGGTCGCTTCTTGGGGTGGATTGCTCGGGCGGACGATGTTAGGCCACAGTAATCCTTGTCAACCAGGACAGCCCACGACGAAGGGAAGTCTTGGAACAGTTCCCCGTTGTCATTGTTCAGTAACTCATTGCCAGACTTTTGTAGGGCTGCAAAGTGGACATTAAGGTGATCGCGAAACATCGTGATGTCCGATACAGACCCCGGTTCGCGAGCATGTCGACCATAAGGCCTTCAGGTGAGACCGACGCCTCAATCTTAAGGCCGTACAATTTGTCCTTACCGCTAAAGTAGTGCTTTTGCTCACCAAATCTTCCTGACGGACGTTTTGATGGCTCGAACCTCACGTCAGTAGCATACTTCGCGTACGGGTACGAACGGAAACATAGCCTTTGTCGCGAAGTTCCGTCAACATTGACATGGTGACGAAATGCTCGTACAAGACAGGTTGGACCGTGCGGATGACACGTATGACCATCTTCTCCATCGTAGGTGCTTTCATGCCAAGGTTGAGTGCGTGCTTCTCCCACGACATGTAGTGCTTCAAGACGACAAGAGTGATAATGAAGGCATCTTTGGGCGTTGTGTTAGACTTTCTGCCCCGGCCGTCGCTCCACCGCGATGACAAGGTTGTTTCGTTAACGGACTAAATGGTTTCAAATTCATTAGGACTGAAGTTGGTCAAAACGCGAAAGCCCTCGGGACCGCTGTCTTCAATGGCATTGTCCATTATTGGGTGTGGGTAGTCGGTTACTTCCTCGGCTTCGTCGATCTCACGACCGAACTCAGTGAGGCTCTCTTCAAGGAAGATACGGTCGGATGCGTTCTGAGCGTTTAGTCGCTCAAGCAAGGACGTGAAGTTGGTGCGCACCAGGAAACAGATTGATATGTGTGTACAGTGAACCGGGAAAAAACTCGCAAGCGTTGTACCATCATTAAATTTGCAGTGGGATTCGTTGATTTCACACACAGCACTAGAA